GGAATGTGTGTTTCCCTGGAGACAAATAGCAGTGACACAATATGTGCTGCTGTTACTCATTCCTGGGAAATGCCCGTGCACATGCGTTCTGGTAGGCGGCATGTTACCCTGGGTGGGGTAGGCCCAGCAGCCTGTCCTGGAGACCTCCAGGGGCTGCAGCCACTGCGATCTAGGAGCAGGGAGCCTCGCTGGCAACCGACCAGGCTCTGATTTTTGGGTGGCACGCACTGCTGCTACTTGTCACCCACTTTTTTTAGGCATGGGTTTTTTTGACACTAGGATTGCCTGGTGTCAAAATAAAAATCCCACGCTGCCAGTCAGCAGTGCGGGGAACACCTACAGGTGCAGCATGTGTAGGGTGCAGTGCCATAGATAGGTCTGTGGCAAAACATACACATGTTCCTGCCAAACCCCATAATACTAATATTTGTTCCAAATAAAACAAAGTATGTAGGAAAAAAGGAACATTTAGGAATTAGTCAGTTAGCAAAAAATTGCTAACTGCTAATGTAAACAAAAAAGAATTGGCGGAGCATGCTAAACACATCTTGAATGCCTCCTATCCAAAGTATATTTTATATTGAAAGAATACTAGAAATGCATATGCCCCAGAATACATTTAAAAATTGCAAAATGTGGACAGCTCATCCAAGGAATATTTGAATTACTAAAGAAGAGAAACTTTTGTCAATCAGAGGCTGCACAGACTGTGTACCAGAACTAAAAGGTTATCACAAAAAAGAAAAGCTAGAAAACAAATATCCCTTTTTGGAGATGACATAAGACATTAACCAAGAGATGGTAAACACTATCTCAGAAAAGTCCCTACTAAATTGAAAACTGATACATGAGAGAACCTTTGTTATACTCAATCCCTGAATCCAATTTTAGAGAAAAGGACAATAAGCAATTAAATACAATGCTCACAGGCTTATTACCTCAGCTACACAAGAATCATCTGTGAGCTCCTTGTGTCATAAAACAAGAGTACTAAGCAAGAAATATAGGTTCTGCGTGGCTTGAGAGAAAGAAACTCTTTCTTCAAGGCCTGTAATGAAATGGGCCTGTGGAAGAACTAGCTTACCATTGGTCAACAGAAGTTGAAATTATACACTTACACATTTCTCAAAAATAAATAAAAATGAATGTAAAACTATAAACTATTCATAAACCTAAAATTCAGATTTACCTAAGAAGTTAGGTAATTACCTTTGGGGGGCACTTTCTTTTCAGGTTCTTCTTGTTTTTCTCGTTTCTCAGGCTTTTCTAGCTTTTCTGGTTTCTCCGGCTTTTCTAGCTTTTCTGGTTTCTCAGGCTTTTCTCGTTTTTCAGGCTTTTCTAGCTTTACTGGCTTCTCAGGCTTTTCTGGTTTTTCTCGTTTCTCAGGCTTTTCAAGTTTTACTGGCTTCTCAGGCTTTTCTGGTTTTTCGCGTTTCTCAGGCTTTTCAAGTTTTACTGGCTTCTCAGGCTTTTCTGGTTTTTCTCGTTTCTCAGGCTTTTCTTTGTGAGCAACTAGAAATTAAAAAAAATGTTCTTCTTTATTATGAAGAACGCTCACATGAAATGAGAAAGGAAAAAAAAATGGTAACTAGACCAAAGGGGCATGATCCTTCTAAAAACAAAGAGCATTCAAATACCAGTGATTTAAACTCATGAGATTGTCTCCGAATATAGGATCCCAAATCTTGTAATATTAAAATTAACAGTTTACTAGAGTTAAAATGCAAGGCTTTATCCAGAAGGAAAGTTATGTTTCACCACTATCACACAAACCTTTATTATAATGCCCAGTGAAAAAGTCCTTGGAACATATTTCTTCTGCTGGAGAAATCTCACAGCTCAAAATTAAATTCATATGACATGGAACAAGTAAAAATGAATATTAGATGTTCAAAGCATCTTTAATATGTGGATATAGAAAGAGGACTTTCTTGGGAGGAATATTTCTGTCATGCATACAATCCGTACCCTGAATTTCATCTGGGATCCAAAAAAGTGAGTTTGGGTTGTAAAAATTCTCTTTTCTAGGAGCAGCTAAAAATGTACATAAAAACATAGAACAAAAATTCATGTCTCTGCTCTGCTTAATTTAGAGCGACGACTTGAACCTGAATCTTTGACATTCCAGGTAAGCACCCTAACTAGTGGGCTATAAAAATCTAGCCCAATAAATATTTAATTATTTATACAAATGGAACAACTCCAATGTGAGAAATAGATGGACAACCATGCCATAGCTTGGGTGTAAGGGCATTCACATGGAATTTCAGGAAATTCAAGTAAATTCCCTAGCCTATGGGAACCACTGGGGTATAAGCTATTCTGGGTCTCTTTCATATGAAATATTTCAAACTATTCCCCTTTCTTCCTGAAACAAAGCAGTAACAAATTTTGAAACTTCAAATTTTTACAAAATGTAATTGACATCTTCTAGTCAACCCTAAAAACAAAATTCTGTCTCATGTGAATTATTTTAGAGGGTGAAAAAACAACAAGCTTCCCACCCCCCCATTCATTCATTATTTGCCAGCTTCACTGTTGATGAGACTTGTTGACCCTTGCTAAGCTTTGTTTACCCTTTAAAATTATTTTAGCCAATACCTCTTTTGTCAACAGAGCACATCCATAGCTGCTTAACTTGAACATTTATACCTTTTAAACCTGCAGGTTCATGAAAATATTGAAATGATGATGGAAGGTAACTAAAAAGTTCATAAATAATAAAAAAAAAAATAGTGCCCTTTATTTCAGTACAATCAGTCAGCAACGAAACAGGCATGCATGTATGTTCTACGCTGGTATCTTGAAGTCAATGTAATGGCATTTTCATAGAACAGTCATATAGTGGAGCTAATGGTACCATTCAAGGGTATACTGAAGTAGCTTCTTTGACAGTGGATATCTTGAGAGATCGTTGAGACCACTCAGCATGTCAAAATGTATGCAGAATATGATTAGAGTCTGCAAACACTCATGCACCATCTCTAAGGTTTCTTTCATATGCTGAAATAGAAAGTGCCTTTATGGCACAACAGCAAAACCATGAGAGTGGCTAATCAAGGAGTGTCAAGCTAACACAGCTGACAAGTTGAACAACTACCCCAGGAATGCAGCAAGCAGGGGAAATGTTTTTCTTGTATTATTATTATTATTATGACATGACTTCTTAACTCTGGGAAATAAACAATGCTTTCACTGGCTATAAACAGTAAAATATTGTGTTTAATTACATATTTAATTTAATACCTATTCATTTAAAAAACAATCTATTTTTAAAACAAAATAAAGCACACATATGAATGGGTTTCTGGTTTCTGATTCACAAGACACCTGAGCCATGCAGCAGCCACCCAGTGAACAGTCTGAAATATTCATAGCTTTAGCTCAGATTCTCAACGTTACATCTATAGTACACAATTGTTTATGCATATTTTTGCATGATTATTTTGTACAGAAATGCCCTGCTTGCATGTTCAAATCTGATCTCTGTATGTGCTCACAACCAAAGAGAGATCACACTAGGTTCATACAAAAATGCCTGATTTGCCCATACAAATCTGCTCTATGACTGTAGTTTTAGTATGCAGGCATGTATGCATGTAGTTTTGTCTTTGCATATTAGTATGCGCTCATTTTTTTTTAAACTACATCTTTTAATTCAAGTTGTAAAAGAATAGCTTACATTTACATAACACTGCTCTATCTTCAAAGTGTTTTGCAATCAACTAACTTAATTAAGCCTCATATTTTTGCAGTAGCCATGCTTACTCATCTTATTTCATTTAAAACTATTTTCAAAATTTTTCATCTCATTAACCTTCTTCAAATTGTATCTTTTAAATTTTACTAGAGTCACCATGTCTAATGCATTGTAAACTTACTGGCCACATCTAGGCTGATGAGTTACCATGCTAAATAACAGCATTCTCAAACATGCTGCAAGGTTCCAGGTGTATTATTGGTAAGAATAGAAGCCATATAGCACAGCCCACACTGTGCTGACATTAGACTAACTATCGCCAACTTGCAACAGTACTAATCGGACTACTCACTTCACTTCCACATGGACTCAGCTGCCACTGTTTCTGGTCTTGGCAGTAGCACAGGCAGAGTGGCATGAAGCATCTGAGGCATGGTAAATTTGCAATTTATACATGGTCACAGATTATCGGGCCATTAAAATGTAATGGGGCAGATCTTCCTTTTCCTTATAGCTGATAAAGTCACTAATGCACAAATGTACAGATGTTTAGGCTTTTTCTCCCAGAGTAAAAATAGCTGCTCTAGGAGAAAAATAATGTGAGAACAGCCAGGGTTAAATCTCACCCAGGACAGTTTCTCTTAGGAGAGTAAATATCTGTACATTTCCTATATTTGCCCTTTTCCTAGGAAAAGGCTGAAATACTCAATGCCTCTTGATATATGCTTGAATATGCTGAGCTGCAGAAGCACCTCACAGCATTTCACCTTGCAGTATTTCCCTTCACAGAGTGAGGCACTGCAAGGCAGACTGGATCAAGTTTTGTGATGACTGGCATCAGAGGAGGAAAGAACCTGTTTCTTGAATTCAGAGCATTGCTAGCGCACAGGTGCGGCCTACCCATGGGTGGAACTGTCACTCAAACATTGGATTCAGCACCCGTCAAAGAACTCATTGGTCCATACACCATGTTCTGTAAAGAATGATGGTGCCAACTGATTGAACCAAATGCTAAAGTGTCTAGGAGGTGTACAGGTCTGTATTGATGACATAAGAATTTGGAGGAAGGTAGTTAGATATGTTAGTCTCAAGTCAGTCAGAAGGCAGGATAGATATACACATTTATAGAACTAAACAAGATATATAGAGAGAGGAAACACAAGCTTTAATGAACTCAAGTTCACTTCATCAGATGCTGTGAAAGGACAGTATAGAACAGAGTATAGAGAGAATGAGTAGAATACCATGCTGTGAGAGACATAGGAGCAAAGAACCCATAGGAGGGGTCACAAAAGCTAATCCAGGTAATGAGATAAGAATCTGTAGTCCTCGTTTAAACCATATTTAACACAGTCTATTTGTGGATGATTTCTTGTTCCACAATTTCTCGTTCAAATTGGTTTAAAACTTTTTTTCTGCCTGAAAGGAGCAATCCTGAGGTAAAAAATGAAGTTGTTCAGGGAAGCTGAAGCATTCTGCCACAGACAGCTGATATCAGATAGGGGTTCATTCATTCTTATCTGTAGAAATCTCCCTGTCTGTCCAGTGTAGACAGCAGATGGGCATTGTAAGCAGGTGGTGGTGTATATCACATCAGTAGAGCTCAGGTGAATGAATCTTGGATGATGTACTTCTTGCTATTTGGGCCAGTGATGATGGAGTCTAGATTGATATAGGGGAAAAGAGCAAGCTTTTGGTTCCATTGCAAGGCCTGTTGCCTCACTGAGGATGTGAGTTACATAGTCAGTTGGTTGAGAGGCGCCGTTTGAGGTTGGTGGCTGTCTGTAAGCCAGGACAGGTTTGTCCCCAGTGGCTACCTGGAGATTGTCATCCTTTTCCAGGAGGGGTTGGAGGTCATTAATGATGGGTCTTAGACGTTCAAACTGGGGGCTGTAGGTGACAACCAGAAGAATTCTGTTGTCCTTATCCTTGGTATTGTAACAGGTTGGAGTGAAGTTTGAGTCTGGCTTTGTTGATCCAAATGGCTACAGTTTTGAGATTGTATTGTCATTGTAGGAAGCCTTGCTCCAGATCCTTAAGGCAGGTCAGATCCCAGTTGGCAGGTTCAGAGTATCTCTGGCTGTAACATATTTGGCTGTAGATGATGGATTTAATGGTGTCTTCAGCTGGTGCCATAAAAAGAGCTGTGGCAGTTGGTTGGTTTCCAATAATACGTGGGAGCAATGTGACCATTTCAAACTTTCACTGTAGTTTCTAAGAAATGAATCTGCTAGGTAGAGTATCCCAGAGTTAGTTTGAACAAGGGGCAGAAGTTACTAAAGTCTTAGTGAATTTTTTCAAGAGTTTCCTTTCCATGTATGCATATTATGAAGATATCATTTATGTACCTGAGGTATACCAGGAGATAAGAGAGCAGCTACAGAGGAAACAAACTTCAAGGTCAGTCGTAAATAAGTTGGTACATTTAGGGACCATACACATGCCTATGGCACAGCCATTTGTTTGTAGGCATAGGGAGTCCGTAAATCTGAAACAGTCACGTGTGAGGACAAAGCAGGAGAGTTAAATGGAAACAGAAGCAGTTTTCTCATCAAGAATAATAATTTGGGATAGTGGTGCCATTGAACATCAAGAATGAGTGAGAAAAGTATAGGTTACTGCAAGAACTAGCAACCTTAAATTGGATACGAATAAATGTCAGCTTCAGATAACATATCTGGGCAAGCAACAGACCTCAAGGTGAATCTTACATTATGACTCAAAAGTTCATATGATATTAAGCATGCCAAAGACTGAAGATAATATCAGAATGTAAAGATTACTAGGAAAGTTGAAGTATGTCAAAAAGTATGTACTTAACTACACAGATCATACAACTCACCTAAGGCATCTACTCTATAAGGGCATGGAATGGGCTTACATGCTACAACATGAAAGTAAATGTAATGATCTAAAACATATGGACATCAATCCCAGTGCTACAATTCTTTGACCCATTAAAAGACATCAAACTCTCCATGGATCCCTCAAAAGGTAGATTTGGAACAGCATTATTACAGCATTATGGAACTCATTGGTTGCCAGTCTCATACTCTGTTAGGTCTATCACAGCTACAGAAAAAATATATGCACAGTGTGAAAAAGAGACCTTAGCATGAGTTACAGAAGTACAAGGTCTATGATTTACAGCATGGTTGGAGAGACAGATCACAATGAACTGACTGAAATATCCAAAAAAGAACTTAGAGCTGCACCACCAAGGATACAGTGACTACTTCTGAAATTACAGAAGTATGATATGACCCTAGAGTTCCAGCCTGCCATTTAGCAATGGCAAACCTGTTTTCAAGAGCATACCCTGTATCAGATAGTCCACAACCTTATCATCTGGAGCACTGGAACCATGTATATGAACTTGATTAAAATATCATGCAATATATCTCCAGGCATTTTGGATTAACTGGTGATGGAAAAGTCTAAAGATGAAACAGTGCATGAGTGATATGTGTAATAAGTAAAGAAGGAAGAAAATCACCATTTCCCTCTTGCATATTGTCAATATACAAATAGACTTTCAGTGATCTCAGGAGGGCTCATAAAGGATACACAGGTTGCAATTTCCGTAGTAATGAGAAAGAAACTTTTGGAATGAATACATGAAGGACATATAGAAATAACCAAATCAAAAAGCAGAGCCAAAGATGTTGTCTTTTGGCTCTGGAGTAACAGTGATATTGAAGACATAGTGAAGAGGCGTGGAACATGTCAGAAGTACAGGACACCAGCAGAGAGAACCAATGATACCTGTGAGCAACTTGCTGTTCCATGGGACAAAGTAGGAATTGATCTGTTCAGTTTGGGATAACCTGACCACCTGATTATAATGGACTACTATACTAATTTTCCAAAAGTGACATTTGAAGACATCAGAGCAACAACAGTCGTCAGGCATATTAAATCTATATTTGCACACCATGGAATTCCAAGAACTGTAATTACTGACAGTTTAAGAATAGGGAATTCAAGATTTTGTTCAAATGTATGATTTTTGACATGAGACATCTAGTCCCAGATACCATGAAGGCAATGGATTAGCAGAACCCACATTGTGAAAAACCCACTTAAAAAGCAATGGAAGAAGGGGACGATACACGCTTGACACTATTCAACTTCAGAGCTACACAACTGCAATATGAAAAACTTCTCGACCATAGGTGTATGAAAACTCAACTACCAGACATGGGGCAAAAAGGAAAGGTGACAAAGGCATCTATGATTATACTTGCCCAGTCTTTTCTCCAATATCAGATGCAGAATTACAACAAAGAGACAAGACCACTTCCACAGGTAAAAAACAATGATTCAATGCAAATTTGGCAAGATGGACACTGGCCAGTTAAAGCTAAGGTAAGAAAAAATATATTCTGTGATCATAAATGAAGGCCAAATCTTAAAAAGGAATTGTGGACACCTGCTCAAAATCTCTGACAATGAGGATAATATAAGTGAAAAAGGAACAGAGACACCAGTTGAAACTAATTTATAAATTGATCCAGAACCTGACCCAAAGAGTAAACATTCAAATACAAACAAGGATGTAAATAAGAGGGGCCTGCAGTACAGTAAAGCTGGAAGATTTCTGAAACAACCAGAGATTGATTGAGACATGTTAGCTTGAGTTTGCAACAGTTGTTTTCTAAATGTTCTTACTTTAGTTAGGATTTTATATAAAGGGGAAGATGTGACACAGAGTAAGTCCTAATGGGCATGTAGAGTATCCAGAAAGTGTGGCATTCCAGGAGACAGTTAAGATTGCAGTGGCTGTCCTGATTTTTCATGTGTTACAGGTGAAAAAGTAAAAATGAGCCCAGAGGCAGTCTAGTATTTTCCAGCAAGAATTTCCAGGTGACAGAACAGGCACAGTACACTTGCAAGGGGAACAGTAAAAACCCATTACCTCTTTACTGTAAATAATTGTATATATAAGTTTCTGTATATAAAAGAGATTTCTGTCTATATAATAAGCCTAAAGATTCCACCACTGCTATCTACCTTAATGGAGCTACATTCCAGTACCCCTGCTGGGCACCTGTCCCATAGTATTTTTAGTCCCACGTCGCACTATAGTGCACAGATATATAGTAATGCACGAGAGGCAAGGTTGTGAAGAACTGGGCTCAGTGCATCCAGAAACATTCTAATAATTCATGGAGAGGAATGATTACCTATAGGTTTTTCTTTTTTCTCAGGTTTTTCTTGTCTTGCAGGTTTGTCTTTGTGTGTCACTAGAAAAAAAAGGAACAAATATATTTAGCTATAAAATAAAATGAGGTATTAAAAGATTTCTACCAAGATACATAACCAGGGATACAAAGCTTCAGTTTCTAGTTACAAATTTGTTTTTATATTTATTATAAGTCACATTCTCAAAAAGTTGTCAAGAACAGGATCCAGGGCTAGGCCAAATGGGTGATGTTTAAATTCAATATCTATTTAAAAAGTCACCTTAAACCACCTACTTATTCTGACCCACATCCAGCTGCCTGCAGCAGAGCCTCTGTCCTGTTGCAAATGAACAAATGACTTTCTTTCATATGTAAAGAAGCCTTGAGCCATGTGGTAGATCGTATGTGTACCCAGAGCATTTTTTTTTTCATATATTGCTTCTTTGAAAGGGGTGCTGAGTACTAGATACTGGCTAAAATCAATCCTGAGCAGGTGGTGCCAGCTCAGTTGGCTATTATAAGATGCTCAAGCTGTTTAAAATCAGAAAGGTAAAATGTCAATGTGGCTTTCTTCTTGTAGGAGGATCTGTATTTTGCACAAATAACCCCACATTTTGACTGTTTACCTGACTTGCATACCTGGGGCCATAAGCAGCAGAGTAATTTGCAAGACAGCTGTAGAGAATGTGTGGATTTTACAGCACATTGAAAAACTGCTGCTAACAGTAAGCCAGCTTCAACCTTAACCAAAGTGGAGTTACTGCAACACTAAAATAAAACTCCTTTGTCAAATGAGGAAACAGAGGAGATCTATTAAGGGCATATTATTTCCATATCTAGTTAGAAACTACAGTAAGAGACCAGGGGGTATTCAACCCCTCACTTTGTTTAACAATAGGGTGATTGCTGGAGAATATGTGAGGAAGTGAATTCCTGCTCTATCTAAGCCATATATCTGGGCAGTTAATTAGTACCTCTATTATCTTCCTTCCGCCCATCACCTCATTAGACACTTTTCTTAATCTTCATCATGGAGGCTAATTAGATATTAGACTAAGATAATGTTTACTCTCTACGCATTCAAATCTTGCAAATGAAATGTATTTGAAGTGCATAATCATGTTCACAGTGAAACTCTCAAGAATCTCAGATGCACAACAGCAGAATAGTACTAAGACTGCACTGGCTATACACTGCAATGTGAAAACAGTACAAGTGATCCCAGATAAGCTATGACCACAGTGAGGGTATTCATTGGAAATACATTCCAATTTCTCTGGGCTCACTTTTACTGTTTACTTTTCCTGTATACTTACTCAATTTGCAATAAGGCTAGAGTATACCTACTCTTATAGCTAAGTAGACAGACTATTTCTTAAGGGAAACATCAGAGGACAGCAATTCCCAGCATGTGTGCCAGAGCATTGTGCGCAAGGCCATTTTGCTCAGCATACCACAGATGGCCTGGAGTCTGGGCAGCTGCCACTGGCCACAAAGCCTGGGCTGCTTGCAGCAGGTGGCCGGGAGGCTACAAGCGACCCAGGCTTCATGGCAGGCAGGAGCTGCCCAGAGTCTGGGCCAGATGTGGCAGGCAGCCCAGAGGCTACAAACAGCTGCACTGGGCTCCAGAGCCCCAGCCAGGCTATGTGTAAGTGACGGCAGTTGTGCACACACCTCCGGAAAAATGGTGGGAGAGGGGCAGGCATTGTGCTGCCCGAGCTCCTTCCCCACCCTACACCCTGAGGCATGTGTGCAGTAGTCACTGGCACAGGAGCTGGTGCCAGTGCTCCAGAGCTCAGTGCAGCTGTTTGCAGCCTCCCAGCCATCTGCTAGACCTGCCCAGAGCCTGGGCCAGCTGTGTCAGGCAGCTGTGAGGCTGCAAACAGCTGCACCATGCTCTGGAGCCACTGGCAGTGAGGAGGGGCCAGGGTTATGTTGCCCCAGGCCCTTCCCTTGCCCTTCACCTGGAGGTGCACATGCACCCAACCACCACCATGGAACCATTGCTGGAGCTACAGAGCCCCATGCAGCTGTTTCTAGGCTCACGGCTGCCTGCCACAGCTGGCCTGGGCTCTGAGCAGCTGCAGCAGGCAGCAGGCAGGCTGTAAACAGCTGCACCAGGCTCCACACCCCTGGTACCAGCTTCATGCCAGCGGTGACTGCATGTGTGCCTCAGGGTGCAAGGCAGGGAAGAGGCCAGGGAAGTTCAACCCCAGTAACTCCCTCGCTCCACCTGGAGGTGCTCATGCAGCCACCACCAGCAATGAGGATTGGGCTTCTTGCAGCTCCTCCACTCTCTGCCCCTGGCACACCAAGTCAAGGCGTAGATCAGGACTGGGATGTTCTTGGCACTCCAGCCAAAATCATAGCCAACCCCTGGATTACACTGTGGTCTGCACTATATGCACACAGGAATGGAAGGAGGTGTAAAAATCCTCCCCTGTGGGCCACTTAGGTTCAATTAGTGTGTGAACGGATTTTCCTGTCTCAGTACATTTCTTTGAGATCTCAAAAATTGTCCCACTCTCCCCTGAAACAACACCAAGATCCTTTGAAGATTTTTTAATGAAAACTAGAGACGTACCCAGCCCAGTTTTGTTGTCAGTTTGATTACTGGACTTAGCTTGGGAAGGTTCTATTATTTTTCTCATATCTAACTACCAGGCTACTAGGGGATAAGTTGGTGGACCTGCTGGACCTGTTCTACTTTGTGTAAGTAAATATTCACTGGAGTCTTGAACTCGTATGAAAACCCTAACCTTTGGCATCAGAGCTATTCGTTCTCTCCAGCTGAATGACTGTACTTATGCAAATAATGGCACAGCTTTAACTGCAGAGCTTTAGGACCTTGTTACGTTACACTGTGAGCTGCTTAGATGTGGATAGGTGTCAGTGCTAGCTTGAGTTTGAAACAGTCACATGTTCAGGCAAGCAGGGGCCTGGAGGACTGAAAGGTAAGAATCCCCCCCCACTGCCCTGCCAGGCTCCACCCCCCCTGCCCCTTGGGACTTCCCACCTGCCCTTTGGGACTCCCCCTGCCCCACTTACCTGTGGTGTCTGTCTAGGGGGAGTAGGCAGGGAGGGGTTAAGTACCAGCCCAGCTCCTATTGCCACTGCTGCTGGGCTGCTGCTCTTTTCCAGGCTGATCCTGGCCCAGAGAGCAATAATAGTGGCAATGGTACCCAGGCAGACAGGTTAACCCTTCCCTGCCTCCTCCCCTGAGACAGAAAGCATGGGCAGCCAAAAGTAAGCAGGGTTGGGGGAGGGAGCAGTGAACGGGGATCTGAGGTTTTGGGGAGAGCAGCAGGGTACCGTGGGCCCTATCTGGGCCAGCTGGGGTGAGAGGTATTTACACTAAGGTCATTATCTTAGTGTAACATGAGCTGGGTTACATAGATCAGAAATAATCCTGCCCTGCAGTGGTATAACTTTGAGCCATCTAACAAGTGCTTTAAACAAGTTTCCTGTGTTCATGTGTGGACAATTCAGGGGTTAAGAGCTCCAGAAACGACCCAAAATTACTGTGTAGCAAGGCTCTTAGAGACCCACCTGAGATGGGTCTCCAACCTAAGTTTCAGTCCCTGGTCTGAATCAAAAGGACTTAAATTGTCCCAGGTAAGTACCAGAACCAATGGGGTATGTGCTATTCTGGGTTGGGTTTAACTACATTTTTTATTCTAGTCAAGGAAGTATGTTCAACCATAGTTTCATTGAAATTACTGTGTCCTGCAAATGAATTTATTTCAGATATTTTCCCCACACCCCCAATTGGTAAAAAATAAAATAAAATAAAAAGTGCCAACCTAAACTCTGTATCTAGGCACACAGCACTACCTTATTTCCCACTGAGTAATGACTGTAGAGTAACAGAACTTTTACTCCTAACCCTTGCACATCAGCAAGCCATGGGAGTATCATACTTTGCTGTTAGCATAGGCCAGCGTCAAATTACTGCCTCCCCCAGTGCAAGATGAAGCAGAGAGGGAATTTTTCAATTCTTGTCTCTGAAGCACAGTGTCTCCAGAGACTGCTCCCTGAGTGCTACAATTTGCTCATTTCTTCTTATTCAAGACTGTGCCCTGAGGCACAATCTAGCCTTTGGATTTATACAGCAAAAATAAAAAGGCACCTATCAATTGCTCTAGGCAAAAGATACTCTAGGCATCTTTTACATAAATTAAAAATAAAGTAAAAAAAATCATTAACCCCGAGAATAATCTTAGTTTTTGCTCACATAACCGTAAGAAGAGCTGATAGATCCAATGTTCCTTTTAAATCTTCACTCTCCTTCCTACCAACCTCCTCCTATTTTCCATGAAAATAATTGGGTTTTGCAGCATGCCCTGGAGTTCATTAGATCAGGCTAATTTAAATCAAGGGCAAGAGAAAAATGCCAAACACCAGACACCTACCTTTTGGTTGTTCTTTCCGTTCCACCCAAATCTCTTGTTTTTCAGGTTTACCTTTGTGAATTACTATAAATAATAAAAATAATTTAGTCATGTCTACATATTGCATACTCTAAAAAAATCCCTAAATATTCTGAAGAGAAAATACTTGTGTGACAGAATAATAGATTTCAGCTGTAAATTTCAAATTATATTTACCAGTTATCTTTTTAAATTTAACTCTTTAACTTCATGTATGGGAGAAATACAAGCTATTTTTTCATGAATGAGACTTCCTATATTTATGAAAAAAATTTGGCCTGTATTTCTGCTTTGTAACTGATTATTCAGCAATTCCAACCTAACTTGCAGGACCAGTTTTTGTCCCATTACGTAAGCACTCTCCTCTCGTATTCCAACATGGATAATTATTTTCCACCCTTGACACTTTCTATTCTTAACAAAAAATGGCTCACACATTGCCTCCAAAGCTATTTTTATTTTTGGAAGTGACTTCAGCCACAAGATGGATTAGCAATGATGCATCTATTTTAATAAGAGCATAACATCAGGAAGAACAGCTGTTTAAAACACAGCCAGCTATGTCCTACCTTTAGCAGGCAGACTTCAGCTGCCAACTTATGCTCTTGTCCATGTTTTTGGAGGTCACCATACCCTACCTCCAAAAGAATGAGATGGGGAGAAAAAACCCACTATCACCACCAGAGACAAATTTAAATAGTGCTTTGTAGCCACATAAAAAAAGGGAAAGACATTACTTCCCCTCCACTCCCCGCCCTTCAATTTTCTGGCAAAAACTAAAACACAGTTATGACAAGCGAATGACTGGCACTTGTCAGAAGTACAATAACACTTCTGCACTGCCATACTCCTAAATCTTTTGGCAAATTTACATCAGAGGTGCTAAGCAGAGGTGCAAATAACTAATATTTTTATTGGTTAAATATTTCCTGAATTAAATCATTAATTGGTTCACATTTTATTAAATAAAAGTTTCATTGAAAATGGTGCATAATTTCATTTTTTTCTGGATCAGCAGCAAACAGTTTTTTATATTATTTAGTTGTTCAGTGAGAAGAAGTTTAGGCTGAATGTATTTCAAAGCCACCTAAAATAATTTTGGACACTTAATTTATGTTAAAATGAATAGGCTAGGAACACTGGAAGGATTGGGGATTCAGATTCATAATTTTAAAATGCTGAATAATGCTGACCTCCACACCCTCTAAAGCTTAGGATATTAGTATTTTTGCTGGGGTAAGGAGGATGAAACACTAACAAGATTACATATTCTTGCATATTGATTCCATATAAAAACCATCAAGAACAAGCAAGCTGAGAAACATTTCAGACAACTATGCAGCTAGCTTTTTAAAGAAAGTCTATATAATTCTACAAATGACAGGTTTCTGAATCGTTATCCACCCTGGTTGATGAACAAAGTGTGTTATATCTGATGACATTCCTTATAATCTATGGGCATGTCTACACAGTACATTGCGGTGCGTGAAGTTATACATGAATAAGCCCTGAATGACCTAGCTTAGGTACCAGAAAGAGTACAGGGAGCTTTGTCTTGGCTAATTAGCCCTGCTGAGAAGAGCTGACAAACAGGGGTTTATTAATCCTGGGGAAGCACTCTACTACCACAGCTACGCTGCTTCTGAGTTCCAAGCTAGCACATCTATATAGCACACCGCAATGTTGTGCAGTTGTTATCTGAGCTACCTTGTGCAGCCACTGCTTATATGTCAAAAAGAATATGTAAACAATGCGGAGCAGCATGGTAACAGCAGAGTTCATGTGTTTCCTTGGCTAGAAGGCACGTCAAACACATACATGGGAGACAATTTTTCCTTCAAGCTGCCTTTTCAATGCATTTCCCTAGAGCACCACTCTATTTCATGCTTTTGGCATCAAAGAACCAAATGAACCGTGAAAGACTTGCTGAATAATGTGTAAAGGGACCTTAAAAGTGAATGAAAGTATAATGTAAGGTCCTGTTGAACGTTTGGAGTGGTATAAAAGGGCTTTGGTGCAAATGAAAACTACTTTTGCTTCCGTGGACCACAAGGTAAACACATGGAGGGTAGATCAGTTGGCTCCTTCACAAAGATAAAAGTAGTTTAATGCAGCTGGGCGCACAGCCTGGAATGTGGATAAGCAGACACCATGTTGGCATAAGCATAAAATATTTTTCTCTGACTAGCAATAGGCTGACAGTGTCCCCTGGTTTGGTCTGAGAGTCCTATCCTGTGTGTTGCTAGCATAGTTGCTTCAGAATATGCTAATCTCAGATCATCGTGTTGACCACTACTTAATATGGACATGGTCAGAGCTATAGCTTTCAGAGACAAGCTTATCTGAGAAGGACAGGTGTTGCCATAATTGAAGTGTTCACTTTCCAAGGCTCTGACGACTGGGCATTTCTGTGTTCTCAATCACAGTATGGAAGTCAGGCCACGAAAGACCACTGAGGCTTCAACTGAATAAGTATAAACAAGACTTTTTCATAAATCAACAGTTTTTTCAGGAATCTGTCAACATTCAATTTGGGATGGGATCCCAGAGGACCTACCACATATAGAAGGTCTCAGGTTTTGTAACTTGATGTCATAGATGAATATGCTTCACATTTGTCGCTGTTAGCAAGTGTACGTTACTAGAGCATTTTCACCCCCTTTACCAAGCTTGAATCCTTTGCCAGACCTCATCTATCCCATGTCAGTGGTAGATCCCTGGGAGAATAGGGCTGTCATGTCCCACTCATGTTCTACTCGTCTGATTTTGCTGATATGCTCCAAAGCTAGAAGTTAATCTGTGAGCGTGCTCCAGACTCATGTTCAGTGCCTGCTCTCAGACCTGTTGGAAACCAAGGGCTTCAGTGCAGGCACTGAGGCAAGTCTGGAATAGCCTCAAGGCCAGATTGCTAGTTTAGAGTATGTTGGCAGATTGGGTGCGCAGGACATGCCCAAGACCCACTGCTAATACAGTATAGACAACAGAGAGGAAAAGATGGCTTGGTGGGATGGGGAGAGGGAAACAGGTCCTATAAGCATGTTCAGTCTACCTGTGATAGCAATGCAGTTTTGCTACTGGGAGACAAAAGCAGTGTTTTCTTATATACAAAATCTACAAAAAACTACAAAAGGGTAATGTTCATATTGTACAGGGTAGTATTCCAAAGTTAGGGAATGCCAGAAATACAGGTGTCTGTGTCACGTTAATTCAGGTACCTCGTGTGTCTGTATTCTGACAATGTTTGTAATGTTAACATACTCTATTTTTTCACTGACTCATTCAGTACGCTGGGGAGATGGCTTTCTGGGAATGGATGAGAGGTCTGGTCTTCAAGATCCCTGCCTCATCTTATTCAGGTAGCGGGAAGTAGAAGAGACAAGGAACAGCCAGAAAAGGAGACGGTCACATGGTCCTTGGAAGCTTCGTACAGGCTTGGGCTAATGGCTCCTGCTATCACCTTTGTTTTTAGTAATGCCGAGCACTCTGACAACCTTTGTTCTCTCTTTCTCACTTTTAAAATTCCTGTGGCATTTTGTAAAAGTAGATTTAGTAAACTCAGCTGAAATGTCTCTTCATTCTTTCTTGTGCATCGTATTGCTCAGCTTAATTTATAAACTTCTTTAGGTCAATCAGGATAAAAAAAATAAAAGTCCTACCATATATGTAAATGTAATAGCAGCATTCAATTCTCATTAGTGACTGCTCTGGATTGTTATAGGTGACACTGGTAGAGAAAGTTATGAAGTCAAACACTCAGAAATTAGAAAATGCCTGGGTTGTTTACCTGAGCAACCCCAATATGGTTGAGACAGGGATCCTGACTCTAAAATGTCATACAGTCATGTCATTAAAGATGATATCATCAGGTTGCTGAATTTAAGCTGCCTTAAAGCTGGCACTACCCGGCTTCTGAGTAGTTCATTATTTAGTCTTAACATCCCTTTTATATCATTACTGTATGTCATAGTACATATATTTAGGATTTAGGATCTGAACACTGCAGCTCACCCAAGACACCATACATGAAATGTATAATTCAGGGTAATTTCTACAATACATTGAATTCAAATTGAAACACCTATTTTTAAACACTACCACCAGGGAACTAGTGGATTAGGAGCTGGGATGCTGGAATGCCTAGCCTAGTAGCACAGCCCACCAGTGAACTATGAGACCACGGCAAGTTGGGAAACTCGTTGCCTGCCTACTTCTGTCAAAAGTTTCTGGTGGAAAAATTTCTAAATTAACTTTGCAAAGTCAAAAACTCAGAAGCTAGGGAATTCCAGGAATAAGGCTGCCTGTGAAGTTTTAATTCAGCACCCTGATGTGTATGTATTATGAGGAAGCCTTTAATTTTAAGACCACCTCTTTGACAGGATTCCTGACTCATCCAGTGCACAACATATTCATAAACTTCAGGAACAAGAGCAGTACTACTTTTTACAGCATTTGTGTAAACTGTGATTTCCCATGGCTTGACCAAATCTGTGTGGATTTCCCTGGGAACAGGAAAAAGCTCTTTAACTTCATCTTTGCCAAATTTCAAGGTTTTAGGCCCGAACCATGGAGGATTGCAAGACTACTGAGAAAAGGAAGAATGTATTCTTGATAACGCTGATTTTGGAAACTGCAGAACAATTTTGTTCTGATGTAACTTTGAATGAAAAATGTAGACCGAGGCATATGGACATGTCAACCTGAATGATTAAAATGTAGTAGTTTCAAGCAATTGAAAGCAAGGCCCTATAATGACAAATGTTTGGCCACCTTAACAATCTACTATACCAATTCATTTAATTTATTAAAAGACTATTATTCACTTCACCTGTAAAAAAAACAGCTGTGTGGGGCATATTTACAATATTTTTCTCAAACCAAAGTGTATAGTTTATAGTTAATCTTCACCATTTTTTTTAAAAAGCACAGGGGAGTCAAATTTAGTTTGCTCAGTTAAAACACTTGAGAGAGTGTTGGGTAACATTTCTCTTGCCAAAAAAAGTAAGTGCAAAAAGAAGAGATCTATTAAGGAGACATTAATTCCATACTTAAGGGAAGTAAATATAGTTCCGAGCTGAGTAAGTCTTAGTCTGTTGCTTTGTATAAAGATAGTGTGAGAGACATGAAGAAAAGAATGCTTCTTCCAGTTAAGTAAGAGCTTGTGTACACAGAAACACTCAGGAAAGTTAAGATAAAGAAAATAAAATTTTACTAGGATGGTAAAATGTATTGGTTAAGCTTATAGCATCTCTGTGTGGATACACTCATGCTGAAACAGAGTGGCTTTAGTGGACTATTTCTTAATCCTTGAAGGAATTCTCCAGTGAAATAAGATCCCATAAGATGCTTCAATTCAAAATTGAAGCATCTTCAATTGAAGCATTTTGATTGGAAAGGGGAGAAATCCTGTTCAATTGCTGCCTAACTCTGGAAGCACCTAAACTCACTACCTCACTCTTGTACATTATGTTTTCCTCAGGCCCCATCTACATGTTGCAGGTATCTCACAATTAACTGGTTAATAGCACACTTACATTAAGACCAGCTACACGTGCAAAGTAGCTATCGCACAATAAAAAGCTCCAACCAGCTATAGAGTTAGACCTTGAAAATGTGTATTAACTCTATACCTGGTGGCTATCCAGCTTTAATTTGCACATGTAGCAGGGTCTCCCCTGCAGCTAAGAGCCCCAATCAGCTGACAGGGCTCCCAGCATCTGGGGTGCACTGTGCCCAGCATGAAAGCCCCAAGGATCATGGCTGCTGTGATTCCCCAAGACTCGGTCATGCATTAAACCGCCAGTCCACATGGGATTCTCAATTCTGGCTGCATGTCACATGCAGCCTGTACTGGGACCTCTGAACCTGATGGGCTCTTGGCCTCAGCTGCACAATCATGTGAGTTGCAGGATTCACAGTCTCAGCTGCTCATGAAATGCAGCTGGACTGGCAGCCCTATCAGTTGCAGGGCCTCTCTGTCCTGGTTGTATGTGGCGGTTGGATCTAACATATAATCCCGCATGTGGCATGGCAGGAGGTGCAAATTGTGTGGATTACTCAATTGATCCAACCTTTACCTGCAAGTGTGCACAGACCTCAATGTCTCGCATGCCATTTCCATGTATCCCCACAACTAGTCTCAATCAAGAAAGAGAAACTAGGCTTTCCTGATTGTGCAGGCATTCTCAGAGCATTTGCTTTACATGATAGCCGTCTATTTTGGTGGCTTCTCAAAAATCCAGCATAAGAAAGATACCCACCTGCCTCACAAGGCTTAGGGGCTAATGAAGTAAAACCCCTAGTAGTAGGGGGAAGAAGCCATAAGGTTGGAAAGATACTGCTATCTCTAAAGACACCTAGGGCATGTTCAGACTGAAGATGTGGGGGTAGAGGGACTGTGGGGGTTGCAGGGATTATGTGCATAGGTGTGGGGGGATTGCTTAGAAGGGATAGGTCCCCTGCCGCCCCCCCCACCCCTCCCCGCACAGCACACACACCCCCACAGCAGCTGCAGAAGCAGCAGTGGCCATCCCAGTGCTCAGCCCACTACGGACTGGCAGAGCCCCCCAGCAGCACGCTGCAGCCCCGGCCACGTGGGGCCCAGCACCACCTGGGCCATGCAGCGCCATGCCAGCCTGACCCGCTAGTGCATGCCCTCGGGCAGAAATGGGCCACTCCTGCTGTCACTCAGTGTCCCAGCACTGTATGCAGGGGGGACACACCCTCATGCCTGGCTGGGTCCTGCTTCCTCAGGTGTTGTGGTAAGGTAAGTGAAGTACTGGCATTTAAATGTGGGGTGGCTGGGGTATAGAAGGAGGCTTCTGGGCAGGAGATTGAGAGAGAAGAATTTGCCATTCAATTTTCAATTTAGCATTTGTCTATGCTGTAAACCTAGAGGTGTGACTACCACATGTGTAGACAAACCCAGGTTAGTGTTAAACCCATGCTGAGTTAGGTAGGAGTACCATTGTGGTTGCTGTAAGATGGGCTATAGGGTAGGCTTCCAGGACAAACCATCCAGGACACTAGGCATATGCTTGGTACTCCACTACACTGCCTGCAACTACTACTATTTTTATATGACCTAGATAGTTTCAAGTTAGCTCAAGGTATGTCTACATTAGAGCTACAGTTGTACCTCTGGATAATTAAAGTGAATATGCCAGTCAACTGGTCTTATTTCCAGGTACTGCAAAGCACGCTGTGAGGGACATTTTGTCAGACATTTTGAATGAAAACCTGCAGGTTTCACAAAGCCCTTTAATAAGGACATGTTTAGTGTGTGATTTTTATTGTCTATGTTATCTGTGCTTGCAGTAACAATATAATGATTACAGCTGGACTTTTGGAGGCACCAAAATTATTCACAAAATTGGATCTAATTCAGCTAATGATTTCAGAGGAAAAATAATGGGGCATTCTTGAAATTTCAAAAATTTCTAAATAGAATATTTCCTTCAACAGAATCAATGTGTCTTATTTTGTCACCTTCAAAATGAAGTTTTCTTTTCCTTTTCATTTCAAAAGACCATTTTCCATTAAAAATTTGACTGAATTTTTATAATAGCAAATACTTCCCAAAACGAAACAAAATATTTCTTTTGTTTTGGATGAAACAGAACATTCTGGGTTGACTCAAAACAAGCTTTTGTTGCTGCTGCTCAAATACAGCTATTCAAAAACAATTATTTCAGTCTGAACCGTCACCTCTGCAACCTCCCTTTCCCACTTCCTTTGCTTTGGTTAGGTCTTTCAACTGCAAATGTTATTATTCATTCAACCCGAAGGAAACTCTGGCCTCTAAAAAATAAAATTCCTTATCATTGTCTGAGCACTTGCCCTACTTCTGAGTTTGATCAATTTGAAAATTATTGAGTTTCTTGACAATGCCATAAAGTGAGAGCCTCCATTTTTTATATGTTCATTAGTTTTCCCTTTCCAAATCAGATGTGGATTGAATTATTTTATAAAAATCAGACCATTCTTTTAAGAGAACATTCTTTGCTGATGCTGTATTTTGACAATTTAAAACATTTCTGAGCTATTAAAGGTTTCTGGTATTTTGAGGTTTGTTAATCTATAAGAAGCTGCACTAAAACCAAGGTCCTTTTTACAGAAGAACAATGAAGGCTAAGGCTTATTAATGGATACTGTGTTTTTTAAAAGTGTTACTATTAGAAATGACATTAAATCATTGTATTGTCCCTCCATTCATGAACCAGCAGTGTACTTACCAGTATATTTGAAAAAGCAAGAGTGTGCAGGGATTAAATCAATCTTTCACCTTTTCTCCTCCGAATATTATAATATTACCAGCAATTTCCAAAAAGAAGAAAATCCTATCGTAGAAATGCAAGTTTACTACACTGATCTGTGAAATATTCTAGTTTCTTTTTACAAAGAAGAGACACTTGACTGGGATGGTTTAGTCAAGGACAATCCTGCCTTGAGCAGGGGGTTGCACTAGATGATCTTGTGAGGTCCCTTCCAGTTATTTCCTACGATCCTGTGATTTTTTCAATCCAGTAGAATTTCCAATACAATAGGGATTCACTTGGTCTAGTCTACTTAAGCAATAAACTACATCAGAATATCAGGTCTTTATGGCACCTTTCCATATTCTTTTGGGGGATAAAATGAAATATACTTTATGCTTGAATACTGAATCACATATTCATTACATAGTTATAACATTTTGTTAAAACTGACGATGACTAATTCTTATACAGTTTTTTCATGACTAGGTTGCAAAGTGCTTTACAAGGGAGGTCAGTAGCACAATCATAAAAGCAGTATCTCATACACTAATTGGTAAAGACCCCACTCCATAAGGCACTTATACATATGATTAACCTTCTACATTGAACAGTCTCATTGACTTCAATAATACTACTTATTTTAAAATTAAGCAAGTACATACCAGTAAGTGCTTTGTTGAATCAGTTATCAGAGTGTCTTTTATTCTTACAGTAGCATTTCCTAATGAGTACCATAAGCATATTTTCTTTGTGAGTGGTTCATGAAAATTATTGAATGAAATATGTATTTATGAGTACAGTATATCACACAATACAAAGTTCCAAAGCACTTTCAATTGTAAGGAACTTTCTTCAGCTGCTTTCATAAAAGCTTTCATAAATGCAAAGCTTTTACAGAGAAAGGTAGTTTTAGGCTGATTTTTCCTCCCCCCCCCTCTTTTGCTGCCTCCAGCTTCACAAGAATTGGTTTAGGCTCTCAAAGGAATGTTAAGATAAAATAATATATACTACATACTCATATACACATAAATGAAGAAATATGAATAGATATTGTTACCTTTAGTTGGTACTCGTTTTTCAAGTTTTTCTTCTCTTTCAGGCTTGTCTCTATGAATTTCTGGAAACAATATAACATATATTTATTGGGAGGAAAAGAATTCTCACAGAAATAAAGGAAATAACTTCTAATAATAAAAATACATAAATGCTTAACTTACATTAAAGTTATATCAATCTGAGCTATATATTTGAAGTCCTAAGTGATAGGTACAAAGTATTGTTCTCGATGTACATTATTCTTTCAATAATTTAAAACTCCTTATCCATTTTTGAAAGGTAGAAAAAAATTACAGCCTTGTTTTTAAACGACCTGATAAGCAATCTGCTGTTAACTATTATAAATCATATATGGCAGCTACCTTGTTAAGATCACACTTGATGTTAAGGGCCTGAAGTAAAGGTTCAGTTTTAAATTCAGTAAAATATATGTCTAGGCTAGGCTTCAGTACTGCAGAAAAGGGCCTGAGGGTTGTAGAAGACTAGAAGAAGATTATGAGTCAACAGGGTGCTCTTTTTGAAAAAAAAATGCCAATACATCACTGAGTCATATTAACAAGAATGTCACTGGAAGGCCAAGGGAGGGGATTATTTCACTCTGGTCAGCACTGTGAGGCCTCACCTGGAATTCTGCACCCATTTTTGGGCCCTGAACTTCTAGAAAGATGCCAGAAAATTAGAAAGAATCCAGAAGAAAGCAATAACTATGACAAGAGTTCAAGAAAATATGATTTATGAACAAAGATTGGAAAACTGGGGTTATTTATTCTGGAGAAGAGGGGTGCTTGTACATGTAACGCGGTTTAATCCTCATTACATTAAATAGGTTTATTAAAATTGAAGTGATATGTTTTTAAATTGATACATCATTGTTTACAGGTGACAGCCTTTCAAATAAATTAAGCTCAGTGCACAATTCACAGTAGAAATTGGGGGGGGGGGGAGCCACATAAAAATCCACCCTGCTGATGTCTTTTGTACTCAATAATAGCAGGGGGCATCGGCAAACCAGTAATTCCCTCACTCCTGAAACACAACCACCCCTCCCCCTCCAAAGCTGTAGCAATAGGAAAAATTCAAGTTCCCCCCCAAATATTAATGTGCTATGCTAACGTGCCAATGAACAGCCCCTCAATTGCAAACTTACCATTTTCTGCTGCTGTATCTCTTGTTCTGAGGGTTGAAGTGTGAGGGGGGTGGAAGGAGCATCACCAGCATTTGGCAGTGGTGCTGGTGACACCACCACTGTATACGGCCAGTATACTGTTAGTACAGGGGGTAGTTTTGGCTCTGTCCCTCCATATTTTTTTCTTTGCAGATGGGATACATTACCCAGCTGCCCCTGCTCAAGTGGCTGGGCTTCCATGGAGACTCCAGCAGCAGCCACGCTGTGATAGTATGGTCCCAGGGGTTTCCGTGGAGACCAAGCCAGATGTGCTGGCAGTACATGTGGCTGTGTGCATGGCTACATGCAATTCTGAGGTGGCTTGGTACCTCTTGAAACCCACCCCCGTTAGTGCGAGCCCTGCTGTCGGGGTGCATGGCATGGCACAGAGCTGCACCACAGCTGCCCTGGCATCTTGAAGCAGTAAGACCATGTTCCATAGCTGGGGCAGAGCCACAATCTGCAGCCTGCATGCCCCAGGCCATGTAGCCCATTTGCTCCCTGCTGCCGCCAGCTGCCACTGCCACTCCTAGGGCTTTGAAGCAGTTGCCCTCCCCCCCCCCCCCCCCCCCCCATCCCCCAGCACAGTACCTGGAAGCTGGTCCATGCATTAATCTACCTGTGGAGGGTTGTGGGGGGGGGCGGGCAGGCAGTAATCTTTTCTGACATGAAGGGAAATTTTGGCCCCCATTAACCAGTCTTGACTAGGTGTGTACTTTATTATGTAGTAGTCCTCAGTACAATCATACCCATGGGTGTTCCTGTGGAGGTTTAGCAGGCAGCCCTTCCCCCGCCACCACCTCCCCCCGCCAAGCTGCAGACTCCTGCAGGGTCATACCACCCCCACCTCCTAGTGGGGCCATGGAGCACTTTCATTAACCCTTCACAGCATATGGCCAGCCCAGGTCCATTCAGGAAGGCTAAACTAGGGGTGTTGTGGTGGGCCGGGTGTTGGGCACTGAATCATGCATTGGGGGCCCACCCCACTGGGCTGTGGGTCCAGTGACATGTCTGGCAGCCTGACAACAACAACCCCTTCCCCCACCCACAGCATCTCCCTCCTCTCACCCCATGCCCTGAAAAAGTCAGCAGTCAGTGGCAGCCAGCTATTCATAGTTCAAGTAACCATAGGAAGCCACAGCTTCCCACAGGGAGACCCCTGACTGCGCCTTCATCCCCTCTACCACCTGCCATCACTGCATCCTCCTCCCCACCACTACAGACAATGTACTGAAGAGGCAGACAGAAGTCTTGTATTAGGGCATAATTAACACTCATGCCACATTTCTATTGCTGAGCATAGCAGGCTCCTGTAACCTGGCTACCTCCTATAACATGGTATTAAGAGCCCCGCTCCCCCAATACCCTGAATTTATTCAATCATTCATTGGTGAAAAGTGGGGTTCTGGAAGCCAAAGCCTCAATGTATGAACCTAGAACTTCCCTTCCCTTCTGATGAGATGGAATGCAAGAACAGCAGAGCACTTGATAGGTGGCACAGTGAGGATAGGGGAATTTGTTCATGAAGGAAGAGCTGCCAGCCACAAATGTTTGGGTGTGATCAGCAGCGAGCCATTATGATCTATCTTTCCAGAAAATGGGGGATGATTTGGGCCAGGCTATGCATATCACTGTTGCTTTGTTCAGAAAGGTCACTTAATCTGATTCCCCTGACTGCTGTTACTGAGACACAGTTCACACCTACATAGGTATGCATATGTAAAATTTCCAAAAAGGTTTTTTAAATGCGTATCTACATAACATCTCAAAAACTTTGCCAGAAAGCATTTTGCAACTGTGTTGGCACCATAGCTAATACTCTCTTGAGCCACAGAAAAGTTTTTAGCCAAAAAGTTATTGATGTCTCCAAAAAGTAAGTCCAGTATGTAGGTTGTGGAGCAGGAGTCTGTACATCTATAAACCATGGCCCCAACTGGACCCAGGAAGAACTTAAAGACTTGATTGACATTTGGTCAGAGAAAAAGATCATTGAGCCACTGAAAAGTAGATGGAATAAGCTAGTCTATACAGCAATTGTGAAGAAAATAAAGGTGTGCAGGCACAACCAGGACTGGACACAGTGCTGCAACAAGATCAAGGTCCTGAAATGTGCTTTTCATTGGGCCAAGAATGAGAACTCTTGTTCTGGGGCAGCATGCACAATTGCTCCATTCTATGACCAGCTGTCTATCACTATCAGCAAAGATGCAGGAGACACTTGTCTCCAGTCATTTGGGACTGGTGTTCAGGAAAGCACAACTAACCAAGAGACCACAAACTGTCCTGATACTGCAATAGGAAACATTTCCGAGGCACTGGGCATCTGCTCACAGCCACTGGTGAATGTGAACAGCCTGCACCCAGTGCACCGAGTTCCCCGAGCCACTATTCCTGTTGCTGCTGATCCTACTGGCTCCCTGTGCACACCTGCACTCCTGGCTCAGGACCCTTTACTATGACAGCACGGGGGCAAGCCTGGCCTGCCATGCAACCTCCTCTGATGGCTGGATAGACACCTGCCACAGCAGTACATGACCCTGACTCCCGATACTAAGGATGACATTGCCACAGGAATCAATGCCTTCCTTAGCATGTGTGAGTGGGCTCTTGCCCAGTACTGGGGAAAGGAGAGGGGATGATAAATAAAGTTGTGAACCCTATCATGCCTGTGAGTGTGCTGTGCTGTGGTGGTGGCAACAAGGGGCCAGGGTGGTGCTGTCATGCCACCTCACCTTCATAGTAATCCTAAAACTACTCTGATCTTTATTTAACACTGCCATGCCCACTGAGGAGAGAACTGATCTGATATTCATAAAGCGAGTGGCCGTGCTTAATGGTCCCGCAGGATCACAGAACACCATTTGCTGGGTTTTCTGTAAAACCTCCGTGTGAATATGTGGTTTGGAGTAGGAGGGGGTTGGGAAATTCATCCACAGTATACTGAAAAGGTATGTTTTAGTGGAAGGTAGGTGCTAGCAGTGGTTCCTCAAGAGCGCTGCTTTCATGCAGAGTCTTGGGAGCACTGCTCTGCTTACATATTTTCTGCAATGCAACAGTTGAGATTTTCACTGGCACCTGTGAATGCCATTCTCAGAATGGCCTGCCATCATTGCTGGGAGGATTCTGGGGAATCAGACTCAAGATAAGAACATTTGCCAACCTCAGTGACCCAGACACTGTTATCCACTGACCCAGACACCAGTGTTGGGGATCCCTGGCCAACCAGGATCACACATGCCCCTTCCCTGGCACTGGCCCAGGCCAGGTGGATGGCCCAGGATGCTGGCCCAGGCCTGGTCAAAGTCCAGGGGAAGAGGGGGTTTAACATGGGGCAAAGTAGTTCTGATGCATGCAGCTGTGGAATCAGAGAAGCACATGCTAGTTTAAACAGAAAATGAAAGCACTCGAAGTGGAGAAGCATTATAAATGTTGTGCTAGTGTCAGATTAATGGATAGGCACAAGGGGGCTGGGAGCTGGAGTTTTCTTGGTAATCATGATGCACCTCAACTTGACAGAGGAAGCATGGTCCTGGTGGGCATGCTGACTGCTGTCATCCATCACAGTCTGTTGTCATCCATGGTGGACAATGTGTAAGCGAGCCTGCCTCAGTGTTCAGCAGACATGCTTGATGAATAGAGGGCTAATTATCCTAGAATCATAGATTCATAGAAATTAAAGGCTGGAAGGGACTTCAAAAGATCATTGAGTCCAATCGTCCTAC